TTAACGCAAAGTACATTTTTTCAATAGTATGTTACAAACGGAAGGATGTAAAAGAGCCCCCAATTATTCGTATCATTTGTTTTACCCAAAATCCCTTAATAATATTACTCAGTTCAGTACACCCACACACTGATTCTCTCACGTTTCAGGCCGTTTTATATCCCAAGTATGACGTCGTCAGTCACTTTTCATACATTAGCACCAATGTAAAATTCAATAAGCTTTAATCTCAAAGTCCATGCTCATATAAATACTGTACCACATAATGTGATGACTGATTAATCAAATTTAAATTTACATGTTCCACTGAAATACTGTAAATAAAATTATGTATCTAAATTCAACAGCTGCTGTATATCTTCAGTATGTAACGCAATGAAAAATGAAATATTTAATTGAACTTATATACTATTCAAAAAAAGTAGGGGATATTTGATTTTGGGGGCATAATACTAAAATATGCAAATGACTACGAAAAAAGTCACTATAGAACCTAACAGAAGAAACATTTCCAGTTACATGTGACGCCCAAACGCACCAATAGCTACCGCATGGAATGCAGGTGATGCTTGGGATCATCATGGGGGTCCAACCCAAGATTTGCACGACTCTGACTTTGAATGTTACAGTCATTGTGGCATTGAATTCCAGGGTGGAAACATCAGTTTAATTGTTTTAGTGACCAGAAAACAAGTTTTGATATGCGTCGGCTTACCCAAAATGAAAGGTTACGTGCCCTTGGCATGCTACAGATCGGCACAACACAGGCGGTTGTGGCGCGGACGATGAATGTTTCTCAGTCTGTCATAAGCAGGCTATGGTCCAGATACCGTGATACACAATCTGTACAGGACAGACCACGCTCAGGTCGACCAAGGGCGACAACTCAAGCCCAGGATCGATTTATCCGTACCTTGGCCTTGAGAAATCGTGTCATCACAGCAAATCAGATCAGCGCTCGTCTTCAAACAGACACTGGTGTGAGAGTGAGTGGCCAGACGATTCGGAATCGACTGCATAGGGGTCACCTTCGCGCCCGACGTCCTCGCGTGATCCCTTGTTTGAGAGATCATCACATTCAGGCAAGACGTCGTTGGTGTAGGGATCGTCAACACTGGGATAATCGACGCTGGAGCAATGTGATGTTTTCAGATGAGTCAAGGTTCACTGTTGATTTTTTGGACAGACGTAGGAGGGTGTGGCGTCGTCGAAACGAGCGCTTCCAAGACGTTAACGTCATCAGACATGATCGATTTGGGGGTGGTTCTGTTATGGTGTGGGGAGGCATCACTGTTGCTGGAAGAACGGCTTTACATGTTGTTGCAGGGCGTGTTACAGGCCAGTACTACCGGGACAACATCTTGGCAGTCCATGTTGTGCCGTTCGCACGACGTCATGGCCGCCGTTTCATCTTCCAGGATGACAACGCAAGATGTCACAGGGCCAGGATCGTTACAGGTTACCTCCAACAACAGAACATCACCACATTACCTTGGCCAGCACTGAGTCCCGACCTCTCCCCCATCGAGCATGTCTGGGACATGCTTGGACAGAGGTTACGTCAACGTCAACAACGTCCTGCCAATGTCCAAGAACTTGCTGCTGCGTTGCAACAGGAATGGGACAATCTGGACCAAAATGACCTTAGACGTCTCATTAGGAGTATGCCACGTCGGATCAATGCTTGTTTGGCAAACAGAGGAGGATTTACCCGTTACTGACTTGGTTGTGATGCTGTGGTAACTTTGCTGTTTGACCCCGGGTATCATTTTACCCTTATAATGGTCAGTCTGTGCCTTACTTAGTCTAACGATCATTTGGAATAAATCGATGAATGTGAACTTCATTCATTTTGTCATTTGTTTCTTCGTCAGTTTCATTAGGTGACTTTAATAACACTTAAAAATCAAATATCCCCTACTTTTTTTGAATAGTATATGAGCAACAGGTCAAATAGATTAATTTTGTGTGAAAGATTTTAGAAACGTGTCCTAGTCCAGTCGGGAGATCGCAAAATAGACATTTTAATTTTACATGTTATGTGGTTGGCAATAAGTACCCAAATTTGCCTAGATATCCATGTCTACATCGTTTGCTTGTTCCTTGAGACTTAACGTCCGCTTCCACCTTGGATGATATCGCAGACAAGTCTTTCCAGCGAAACTTGCAAGAGAAGCCAAATGATAGATAGTATACGGATGAACGATTAGGAGACCTATTCGATTCCGTTTCCTTTTTATGTCTACATCCTTGCCTATACTTTATATATATATAGAGAGAATCTCCTACCAGTCTTTTTGATATCAAAAAATATCAACACAAGTTAATTTTTTTTTATATCAAAAAAGACGAGTAGGAGATTTTATTTATCACCCAATCCCTTCTTACATGCACAAATAGATAAATATAATTCTTTGCTGTAGATTTCACTTTGACTGAACATTGCGGCGTAGTGATACATCATTTTTTGACAGTAATTCAACCATTGCAAATCCTTTATATTCACCCAGTGTTTCCATCAAGGTCAACTGAATAACAATAGTTCGTTTTTAATAAAAAAAAAAGTTACTTTTAATAAGAAATGAACTGTTCTTTGAAAATAAAAAAAGTAGTTCCTTTACAACTGACCAATCAAATTCATGTAAAGCGATATCTCCTAAGGAGATATCGCAGTAGATTATGAAATATATCACACAAGCGATATCTACTGTAGAATGTATTATTGGGTGATAAAGTGTGGTAAGTGATCGTCGCGAAAATCAAATCACTCATTCAATTGAACAATACTCCTTAAACCCGTTTAAAAAGATATAGCAATCAATTCCGAACGTTCCTATGTTTTGACAGTAGGGGCAGAACAGTATAATAGGACGTTAAACCCCTTTTTCATTTCGTTTCATTTCTTGTGTCTTGAGTTGTTATTCAGATCGACTATTTGGGTTGTTCTTTATATTTTGGGATTTAATATACATATTAAGACCCACTTCAGAGGCGGATCCAAGGGGGCCCCCTAATTTTCGACAGTGCCCTTTTTTACTGCTGAAAGTGCCTTTTCTTAGACCCAAATATGTCCGTTCCCAACCCGTTGCAGGGATCCCAAATGACTCAAACCATCGACTCAAACACACCAGTCTGGTCTAATTAATGCTTCCACTTTCAAACGAATTTTTGTTGTTTAGCTGACTGTGCCCTAATCCTATACAGTGACTATAGACGGACATCAATGATAGCATCTTGTGGAATCGGCGGCATATACTACTATACACTCATGCCCATCACCGACGCGCATTAGTGCAACTTGATGTAGCATTGTTTCATGTGTGGACAGTACAAGTTACAAGGCTTAAATAGTGAAGTGGCTAGGGAATAGATTCGTCTTTTTTCTCATCATAATGCCTCGCTCGCCTTGACAATTTTCGAGTCGCGTGTTCAACTGGCTGTTTTGCTCGATTTTAAGGCTCTTTTTCAACGATTTCCGAACGTTTACTTAGGCGAAAATATCAGCCAAATAGCTCTTGGAATGGCTACAGATGCAGGAAATGACGGATAATTTTCTTGGGGACCCCCCCCCCCTCTCAGCGGCGTGCCGCCTCTCCGCGGTCAGTGCCCTCATTTTGCGGCGCCCCCCCCCCCTTTTCAAAATTCCTAGATACGCCCCTGTACTTTTATCAACGGACACCCTGTAACATCTTTTCCTTTAAAGACATCTCGGCACAACAAACCTTCGTGAAGAATGAGTCTGATTGTACAAGACTCAAATGTAGGGCCTACATTGTCAACAGCGACAATTTCAAATTAAAAAATATTTAATCTAATTTCACTTTTTGATAGGATCCAACCACATAGGATAAAGATGCCCGAATACGTCGTCGCCTCTGGCCTCTCTCTACACGTTTTTAGGAACCTGATAAAATTATTGTTATATAATTTGTCTAATAGCCACCACATCAGATTTGGATAATTTTTCGGCGATTATTGTTTTGTTATAATAAAAGTACTTTTGATATTTTATGATCTTAAATTCTGTATTTAACTTTTATTCTGGCTTGCTGTGGTGGTGGTGGGCACGGTGCCTCAGTGAGTAAGGCACTACAGGATTTACTGGGATCGATCTGAAGTTCCCAGCGGGGTTCCACTACCTGACAAAGAAACGTGTCTATTCTTCTGATAGTGATAGTACTCCGAGGTTCACTCGAATAGTCGTTGTTGTGCCCATAAAATAACTCTTGACATTCGATGAAGCGTGGATGGAAAAGCCACTGTCCCGGCATGGCATTCTAAAAAGCAGGAATCTGTACATGTATACAGCTTTCTTATTACATCTTAGACTCAGTTGAATTCATCTTCTGGATTGTAATTAACTGAATGATGACGCCAACATATTAAATGACTTTATATCTAGCCCTAGATTTATACATACATTTTCTCTCAACTAAAGTATATAACTTGAATTAAAGAGACTGCGCGAATTCTCTAAGTAATTAATTTGTTATTATTGCTCAATTAACCTGTTTTAAACTATGAATTCCGTATTCGGCATTTGAGTACACGTTGTGTTGAATGTTATTTCGCAAAGAACCATAGTCATACTGTTTGACAAACCTATAAACGAATAATATTGACAAATTATTCTAAATTAACTACCTGTTTTTGTACATCATTGATTCATTAAGTACTCACATCACGTTACTCATTAGAACCTGCATGTTTTGTTTATGATATAACCGACCTTCCTTTAATCTCACACAAGACTTGCTTGATTGATAAAATCATGAAGAATCCCAGCATATCTTTGTTTATTTGTTTTGCCGTGGAGCTAAAGGATCACCGCAACTGTTTTGTTCCTAGCTGCTCTAATAGAGGGGGCGTAACGACTGTAGTCAACAAATCAGTCGCTACATACAACGCGTTGATAAATATTGCTATGACGCCAACCTTTGGCAATTTATTTAACATATTAAGAAGCTCGGCGATCGTTAAGCTTAGTTTATCATATATTCTGTAACCATACAAGTCATGTTATCTATAAAGCTATAATGAATGTAGGACTATGTATTTAATAAATCTTTATTTGATAGTGGAGTACTAAAGCCATTCTTTGTGAGATATTATTTTGCCATTTAAACAAGGTAAGTTTAAACTTATTGCTGTTCTTTCAGAATAACTTTTGATTATAAACTTGATCATAGATTTCGTGAAAAAAAACCCACTAATCGTCAATAGGAATCCGTTATAAAATAAAATACAATTTAGCTATTTTTCAGTTAAACTTCTATGTTTTGATTTTAGCCTTGCAAATGCTTTTAAAATGTTATCAAATAGTATCTAAAATCCTATTATATGGGGCAACAACACAGTCCGGATAGTCCATCGCTGGTGTTATATTTGAAAGACGAAACATGTTTTCGGTATTATATTTTATAGTTCAGTGTGGCACTTATAAAGACACAATGATAAAACTTATTTGATACTTGATTATTACCCATTATGTACATTAAGGATCTTGTATAGGAGTTAGACCACCATTAGTAAGTTGACTACTTGAATGTATGGTAAGGTAAATAAATTGGAAGCTTGGTTAATGTTAAGTTATGGTTATGTATATTTTAAGTTGTAAAAGTTAATAGGTTTACGACAACACACAATCACGAACTCTACTGGGGAGATTCTACCCGCCATAAATCAAATACGTTATATATGTACAGTGATAATAATTGTAACAAATTTTGTGATAAAAGAAATACCGCTGGTATGTAAAAGTTTCTTAATGCTTGCAAATGACTCAGATGAAACGTACAGAAAAGGGAAAATCGTGCCATCATACGGGATACCGACATACCATTTTGAAACTAGCATAAATAATAGATAATATTATCACATAAAATTAACCATAAAAGATCTGCACGACAGTTGCTCAATTTGGGAATTAGCAAAAAGACTAATTCAATAACAGTAAATAGAGGCCAAGATAATCAATTAGATAATTAACCTTTTAAAACTCTATCAGCAGAAAGTATTTAAAGTTGAAAAAACATCGCTTATTGATATTGTCTTATCTAATGGAGAAATCTAGAAACCTCTAAATCAAATTACAGTAGGTCTTTGAGCTCGACGATATTCAACAAGATTTTTAAAAATCACCCCTTTATGTTGTTTTTGTGCGATAGTGTTTGTTACTGTCGTTACTCGATTTTGCCGAATTCGTACATTGCAAGTGCTTTTATATAGGCCCTACGGCAGTGTAAAAAGAGTAAACACGAATGATGAATTGCCATCCGTATTTTTTTTTTTTTTTTTTAAAGTTAAATGTCGAAATATGAATATTAAATGATGTAGCACTCTTCTCTTTTCCGCGTACAATAATTATTAATGACGTTCCTTTAGTTACAGTGAATAATGACAGTCATTTGTTTGGGTAATTAGGTAGTATGGATTATATCAGAGATTTAACTAAGAATGAAGAAAAATGACAATGTGTAAAATTTACGTTCGAAACAGGAAGCCATTTACAAAACAAATTTATCTATATAGGCTATTCAGACCAACATCCAAGCAAATAATTTCAGAAATAGTGTACCTTTATGTCCATTTGTCTGCAAGGCGTCCATAAATTTTCTTAATAGTTTTTGTTCCACATCTGCGTATACAGGAATGTAAAGGTTAAAGTGCGTTACTGAAGGGCTGAAATTAATATTTTATACCCAGCATACGGATTATCACCGTGCCGTTTCTCTCTTTTATGAAATTGGTTTATATAGAATATCTCGAATTTTGCCTTCTTACACAAAAACCAACACTATTTTCCGATTTCTGTGCCATTCCGGGCACCATGCACATGTTTCCGGAGATTTGAATTTTTGGTCGAATCGCGACCCTACATATGAAGCTTTTGTTGAATCACATGGTTGTTCACCCTAGGAAATTAGCTTGAAGATATAAAACTTATATAATGAACTCAATACGTTTATCAAAACATCAAATATACATAAAAATCGGATCTGATTAAACGATCTATAATCATGCCTTGCACATTCCTTTCTCCTCCTCCCCCCGCCCCATCACTTCCCAAAAAGACCAGATTATGCTATATGACATGGTTAAAGCAAGGATGGTTTAAGTGGCATCATGTAATCTACTTGATTGTGGGTATTATTGGGCTACCACGGAATGAAATGATTGCAAACAATGACAGCATGCAGATAAAATGCAGATAAAAATTACCATATGCTTTGGATTGGAAATGACAAAGCAGAATCAAATATAGTGCGCGCAGCAGTATTGCAGTAAAACCCTTCAGATGAAACCTAGAAAAGACATACAAGGCAGCTGTATAACGTCAAATTCCAAGATAAGTTATATGTATTAAAGAAAGAGTAAACAGATTCTAACTATTATAATGGTTGAAATACGGAATACTGGTTGTTAACACAATATACACCAACCAGCAATAAAATGATCTGCGCGTTAATACGGAATTACCTTGCAGCAATTCTTGGTAAAGATGCATTATGTACGAGCTCAATCTGTCTATTGCAGGTTTTTATTTTGGCTAAAATTTTATGTAAATTATTATCTAGACAATTATTCACATACCAAGTTTATAATCAACTCTCTGGGCCATCGGAAGGCGTAGATTAAACTGATTAAAATGCGCTCGCCATTTACTGATTTAATTTAAAAATGGAGAAGCGAATCTGAGTCTCGATTAACAAGTAACGTTGCTACGACAATAATCAATCTAGATCACGTCTTGTCAAAACCTCAAACAGTGATAATGTCGCTCAGAATAAAGTAATTTGAATGAAATTTTCAATATATCAATTACTTATTATCTTTTCTGGAACTATCATAGGAACGACCAACTCTAAATCTTACATAACTGAGTGAACTCCCCATGACGAGGTGATCAAGTCATTATTTTACAGAAACGTGACACATATTAATAAATAATAGGGTATCCTCACATTTTACCTTGCAAAATAAAGTCAGGGTTTATTAGCACTGTCCACAATCGCCGGAAATTTTAATAATTTATTGTACTGTAATTTATAACTTACCACGACGAATTTAGTTCTAACTCAACGCGTAAACATTGGTGATGACAATAGCAATGGGGTATAACTTCCTATATACTGTTCTATATCGAGCTAATAAAGAAGGAATAACAATACAATTCACGCCTACTGTCCCAAATCGTGTATAGCTATATTTTAACAATTCACAACTTCTGTAATTCGAGTGGTCTTAAAAAGTATGGGCGATCATCTTTTCTAACGGCATGAAGTAGATTGCTACGAGGTGTGCCAGACTTGGTTTTATACCAAATAAACATTTTAAGATGTTTGAGATCAGGTGGATGCCTATACTATGTAATCATAATAACAGGACCATGCTCCCACTGAAAACAATTTAACTGACTTCAATTCGTCTTTACACTACATGAATGCTATATTAGGAAGCTGTTTAAAGTCAAGTTAGCGAACTAACCCACTCAATGCATTGCAAAATAGAACTGACGTTCACAGCATTTAAAACTTATGCTATCCAATAATAACTAATCGAGTATTCAATTTACTCTGTCGATGTACTAATTATTTCCGCGATTTTTCTGATCGAGTAAGTTTTACAGTGGTCTTTTGATTGGATCAATTCTTGAATTAAATCTGAATGACACTGCTTATTGTCAAGACTCGATCAAAAATGTAAGTGTCTGGAGCCGAGGGATTACGGCACCGTTGAATGGACTAATGGTATAACTGTTATTGGAGTTTGGTTAAGCAGGAACAAAATGTCACGTACTCTAGACGTCCCGGTAGTATGGAGGTTTGAAAGCTATTAATTAATCAATATAAATTTAATAATAAAGAGTTGTCGGACACAATTACTAACGAATACAATCCGTCACTAATTGATTCCCTAACATGGATTGTTACCTGATTTGTGAAGCTTACTGAGTTAACGATATTATGTTCAAAGGGTTTTAACGTCCCACTTTCCTGCACCGACTGGTCTAATAAAGATAGACATGCGCTATGCAGTGTGCTAAGAGGTAAATTATACTTGGACAATAGTGCTACAGCCTACTCGTATTTTGAATTACAACCTGTCAATGGTTATTTTACGTTCACGCCTGCGTGTACACGGAATCTCGGGTTTTTGTACCATCCGAACATCTAGAGGTTGTTCCTTCCCTGCACCAATGCAAACTCTCGAGGAACGTTGTCAGTCAACACCAGGGGGGAACCTGAGAACTCTTGGTTAATGAGCAAGCGTTGGTCAACAACCAAGTTGGCTGGTGACTTTACTGGTTGCCCTTCCCCGAAGTTTTCCCAAACCGTTAACTTCGGCTTCTTTAATCAAAGTCCAGAATTTTTAGCTGTAAGATTGATACGAATTATTTTACGTCACCTAGGAAACCTGATACCACTTCTCATTTCAAGAGTTGACATTGCTACAAAATTTTTGTCTTGTGTTTAGCTACTGTATATTATGGTCAATAAAAATTGTTTATACACAGTGCAATTATACTAATCTTGTGTTGAAATCGAGGTTTTGAAGAAATAAAAATATGAGATGATATTAAATTTTAAGTAGGTTATGCAAATACAATAAATCAAATTCTGAAGGGAGATAATTTTCATAACCTTTTTTTTCTTTAACAAATAAACAATTGTCAATACACGTTGTAACAAAAAATGTCTTTGGTTATTTCTTCATGAATTTATCACTTATCGAATTATAAAGTGCACAATTACCATATTATTCTTGGCAACTTTATATATTTTACTTTGCATTTTTATCTCGAAAAAATATTTTTTCAGGTGTTGTAAATTTTCTTTATAACAATTTGTTCAAACATGTATTTAGATTTATTTCACGTACTCGGTGTACTTTTATAATTTAATTTATCATACATATTTTGTTTCAAAATTAAAACATAATCTAAAATTTGAATAAAGACTGTTTATTTGTGTTATGTTTAATGTTATTTTCCATCTGCTGTTTCTTATACTTATTATTAAAGCAGTTCAACTGTTTTATATTGGTATTTATAATCTAAGTCGTATGTTTCTAGAAGCTGAGATATAAATAACCTTAAGGCCATTTCATGTTCATTCATTCTGAATCCATAAAAGGTTTTTTTTTCATTATGTTAATATACATTAAATTAATATAAACTGCGAAACACTGAAGCCACGAGTGTCTTTTTTTCTGTGTGAAACCTTTTTATACAAAGCAGTTTGTAACCCACCCTTGCGAATAAGAATTGTATTTCTGAAAGAATTCGTATGGAAAAATTATCAGGTGTTCTAGAAAGAATTAACTTTATAAAATAAATGAATTTCTTTACTGGGCGAATAAGCCACAAACACAATCTGATTAAAACACAGATCCTATTTCGATTCGTTTTTTTATAGTTCAAAATTTCGTTTTACTTATCTTTACTACACTAGGATCTAGAAGAGTTGTTATATTACTGGCGTTTTGGTTGAAGTGAGGGATAAGCCAATGAAATAGTCTGTTATGTTGACTTCTTGTCGTGCCATGCACGGAACTGTGGGTAAATCACTAGAATAGCCAACAATGATAGGGTCAAAAGCTGCCCGTATGACCCTGACACGACATCGGGTACAACTTTTCAGATCTTCATGTAGTGTAGGCCATCGAAAGTATAAAAAAACGAAATGAAATATAGATCTATATTTTAATCAGATTGCCACAAAAAAGAAAACTAGGAAATGATCCAAAGTGTTGGGTCGACGAAAACAGTGGTGCTACCCCCAACACACACAAATAATTTGCAAATATGTGTTTATTCAGTTTTAAGACCTCGGGGCCCCATTTTGGCTTTAAGGCGATGGCAGGTCCTCAAATATGAATTTCATTTCGACGGGCCTGCATATGTGTACTGTGGGGCAGATGTTAAATGAGCGTAAGTCTGAACTTGGAAGATTCACAAAATAAGAAATAAAATGAAAGGATTTTATCGTCTTACTTTTCTGCACCACAGAACTAATTATGGTGTCTAATCCAAGCGGGATAATGAAGACGTGCATATACCATTCACTATGATTCGGTGCGCAGTCGGGGACATTTTGTCCACACAATGGCGTTTCTTCAACGGATTCCAACTGTCATGGGTTCTTTAACATGACATATGGGACCTAGGTTTTTCGTTCTATTCAACTTAGTAGATATGTTATATGGAATACATATGAATTCTAATTTTTTTAATAATATATTAGCAGAGGCACTTCCAATTACCAATTATACCCTATAATTGACGTGCTGGTTGGGAAATATTTAACTCTAACATTTGGGGAGACTTTAATATCCATTTAATATTTTGTACCAGAAACTGTCGGGAATCTTGTATGACCTACATCAATGAATTGCGATGTCTTCGCATACTAGTTATATAAAGTCACTAATGGTGAAACCATACGTTGGTCTAAATTAGACCAGAAGCCTGATGTGAACATTTCCAGTAAATAAATATTTTCCAAGATGCCCTTCTATATTTTTTTGTTTTGTTTTATTTTGTGGGGACTGGAAAGATTTGTAGATAATGTTCTGAATATTATTTTTTTTTCAGATGTCAGTGGAGGCTGCAGCCCTCGAATCTCTTGCAGAACTATTAGGGGGCTATGATGATCAGAATTCGAGTATGGACGGAACCGATTATTTAAGAGACCTCATTATGAACCACAGCTACCGAAACACCTCTTCAGACATGGGAACACACATGTTAAAGACAGACAAAACATTCAGAAATTCCGTTTTGATTATCGCTTATAGTTTGTTGTGTGTCATATCCATATTTGGAAACTCTCTTGTGTGCTACGTCATCTGTAAGAATAAACGCCTTCACACGGCCACAAACTATTTTATCGCTAATTTAGCAGTGGCGGATTTGTTGGTTACTTGTGTTAATGTTCCGTTTAATATCGCTCGAAATATTCTAGATGAGTGGCCTTTTGGTGATTTTATCTGCCATCTTGTGAACTTTTCATTAATGGTTTCCGTTTACGTCTCGACTTACACACTGACAGCCATTGCACTTGACAGACACAGGGTTGTCCTTAAACCTTTCACGCCTAGAATGTCAAAAACTGTGTCGGCGGTGATATTGGTGTTTATCTGGCTATTGGCCATCATGTTGTCACTACCGTATGGTATTTTTAATCGCGTCAAAACAGTCAGACTATTCATAACGTCCGTAAGACGATGTAGATCTGAATATCCAGACCCAAATATATTATTCAAACAGTACTTAACGGTGATTACCTTTTGTCTCCAGTACGTCGGACCGTTAACGTTAATAGGTCTTGCCTATGGTCGAATTGTAAGAAAACTTTGGGTAAGAACACACGTTGGGGCAGTGACACACATGCAACAAATATCGCAAGCTAGGGCTAAAAAGAAGAGTATTAAACTGTTGGTAACCGTGGTGGTTGTTTTCGCCATTTGTTGGTTACCGTTGAATTTATACCATCTTCTTACAAACTTACATCCGAATGTTATAGTGTTTCAATATAACAGCACCGTCTTCTTTATTTGCCACTGGATAGCAATCTGCAGTACGTGCTTCAACCCTTTTATTTATTGTTGGTTAAACGAAACATTTAGAGAAGAACTGTTTGATAAACTAAGATGGTGCCTGAAACGGTCCTTTAAGATACACCCGGGAACCTTATTCGAGGGGAAACTGGTTCGGCAAAATCGTATCCGGTTCCGAAGCCGTCGATTTACAACGCGGTCAAGTCTAGGAAGTTTTGGTCGATCTCTGAGCACGAAAAAGGACACCATGAGCATGGATGTGAATGATATACCACTGGATACCAAGAGAATACTCATTCAAAAATGGACATCAAATATTAATACAGACACGTCGGAAATAAACGAACTAATCCCAAAATTTAATGGATCTATTATTATATCTGACACTAATGCCTCCACCTCCAGTCAAAGTGTAGATGATAACTTTTCTTACTGAAATCAGTTGTGCATTCGTAAACACTTGGGAACACTTGTTAAAATTGAAAATGTCAGGAGTTGTTGTATATATATACTCTTAAAAAAAGTAGGGGGTATTTAAATGCAAATACCTATGCAGGTTGTGATATGATAAATAGTCGTGGACACTTGACATGCTTTGAGAGTATGTTCACAGATGAAGAACTTATCGCCCCAACAGAACCACTGAGCTGTACGTGCGACACGCTATAGCGCCATAAACGTGGGGGGGGGGGGGGTATTGTCAAATTTGACACTTCAAAGAAGGGTTGATGAAAACTGCCGCGTGTTGGTTTACCCTATCAATGTTTTTTTCCTATCGGTTCTTGCATAAGCTTTACTGTTTAGCGTATCTTTGCTTTAGTGGCTTACGTTTAGTTTGCAATGAGACTTCTTCAACATAATGAACGTCTACGTGCTATTGGCATGCTTCAAATGGGTTCTACACAGCGAGCAGTAGCCAACATGCTTAATGTGTCACAGTCTGTGATCAGCAGACTGTGGAACCGGTACCAACAAACACACAATGTTGATGATAGACCTCGTTCAGGTCGTCCTAGAGCCACTACACAAGACCAGGATCGATACATTCGTACACAGGTCCTGCGAAATCGAGGACGAACGGCCAATCAGCTTTCTGTAAACTTCTACCAAGTTACAGGAATTCGAGTTATACCCCAAACGATTAGAAATCGGCTACATGCAGCCCATTTGCATGCGCGAGGACCGCGTGTTGTGCCTCCATTAACTCGCCAGCACATGGCAAACCGGCGTCAATGTAGAAATTGGGGTGATCGTCGATGGGCGCGTGTAATGTTCTCAGATGAGCCCAGATTTACTCTGGATTTCACCGATAGGCGTGCTCGCGTTTGGAGGCGTGTAAATGAGCATCATGCTAACGTTAACGTCAAATAGCATAACAGATTCGGGCATGGGTCTGTTATGGTGTGGGGAGGAATCCCCATGACTGCGGAACGGACTTGCATATTGTTCAAGGAAGGGTCACTGATGTGTACTACCGTGACCACATCCTGCCACCGATAGTTCTGCTCTTTGCTCAACGTAAATGTCGACGTTTCATCTTTCAAGATGATAATGCCCGTGTCCACCGCGCTCGTGTCATGAATGACTACCTCCAGCGTCACCATATTGTCCATATGCCTTGGACAGTCATGAGTCCTGACCTTGCCCCTATAGAGCATGTCTGGGACGTGATCGGGAAACGTGTTCGTCGACGCCAATGTCAACCGACAACATTGCAAGAATTGGCCGTGGCACTGCAAGAGGAGTGGGTCGATTGCCACGACGAATAGCTGAATGTCTGAGGATTGGTGGAGAAATTACTCATTATTAAGACAAAAATCAAAAACGTCCATTTTCACTTTTGACAGTGTATCTCTTTGCGAGAGAAATGGGGCCGTCAAATAAGCCGCCCATATGAACTGTTTATGTTCATGTTTTGGCAATTGGCCTGGTATTAACATACACTGGTTACCTCTAATAAAAACAGCAATGCATTTCCGCAGTTTTGTATTGTTTCTGAATAGCCCTACTTTTTTGGAGAGAGAGAGAGAGTATTGTAGTTGAATGCTAAAGGGTGAGAAATGGCAGGGAAGGCAGGCAGTGGCGTGGTGGGACGATCGCTGGGAGGAAGGGGTTGGGGCGTGTACTGGCGCCCAATGGGGATAGTAACTTCCGTAGCCAGCGCTAAACCAAGCGAAAAATGTAACAATCATCCTCATTTCCATATCTTTCTTTTACAATTTCAATTTTTTGACCCAAAAGGGGGCTTTCATGTTAAATGCAACTTGCATAGCAAGTCCAAGGTAGGGGTGATTTTTGTGCCGGAATCGAGGTGTATTTTTGCGCCACAATATCTTGGCCGTACTTAACCCCAAATGACCATTACCAGACATGAAGGTGCATGACGTCAATTTTTGTAGGTAATTATTGATGTTGATAAATCTTAATTGCCCATATGAATTCGATCACTTTGACATACATTTTAAATCACCATTGTTCGTTTAAAGCTTTACCAAATATGTTGCAGATGTGCAACTACATGGGATTAAATTATGAATTGAATGGAATGTAGGTTGTCGGTGTGATAGCGGTAGTGCAAACAGATTAAAAACGATTAAACTGTATAGACTGGTTTCTATCGTATGCATTATTACTTTTATGAAAACTGTCTGTTGGAGTCTCAAACATTTGATTGAAAATGATAGAAATCAATTCTATGGTTTGGTTTCCATATAGTTTGCGACTGCCTTAAATATTGTCGCTGACAGAAGGATGTAGTTGAGGGGAGTGGAGAAATTGGTATTTAAATATTCAAACTAATGACAATACAACGCACTCGCAAAGATGCTTGCATGTTAAAACGTCCTGACAGCCAAGTGAGCTGTAATGAGTCAGCTACTCGCATTTTTTTTTTAAAATTACTTTAATAAACTGCTGTATCAACCATATCAATTGCTTTGTATTAAATATCCAATAATAGCTCTTTGTTCTAAATTATTATTTGTTTTATTGAATTACTATTTGATAAAACATTCTATTTATAATAAATAAATGCAATTATCACCCAACAAAACATCACTGTTTTAATTTCTTTTGATGTAACAGTATCAGCTGGTTTTATTATGTAATATTAAAATATCATTTACTCTTAGCCTTAACATTCGGTAATGGTAATTTTAACACCAAAGTGTACTCCATAATGTTAAATATACATAAACATGTACACTGTTCTTTTTTTTATATAACTAATGCTGTTCTTTAACTCAATATCATCCACAGTCTTCGACATTGAAAACACGAATTATTTGTCAATTTAAAGCAACGTTGATATTGTGATCTTACCGGGAAAATATGGGATTCTGATATCCAATATTTAAGACAAAAAAACATTTTACCATTGGTACGCGAATCGTGTACAAGCCTGTGTTTCAACGCCATTTGTAACAAGGGACTCGAAGAACGGGGCTAGGAATATTCCACAAGTCATGTCACACGGTGACGGCATATTCTTATCTGGAGAGCATGCGCAATAAATACTATCGGTGTAGACTGGAATAACCAGATGCTATAGATTTCCATTCGATTGGGAGTTCTCGCGTATTTCGCCGAACATAACTGATTTGAAATTAGAGTAAAAACGGAAACGATTGAATGTAAATCAGTTTATATACATGCATATTGCATTATTATATGCGTTGCGACCCATTTGTGTCAATTTCTAGGTCCCAAATATTATCGATTTCGCCCCTTTAACTCTAAATGCTAACTATTGGCTTGGCATGTTAACTCGCAAGCCAGGGATTTAGATATATGCTAACTGTTGGCTTGGCATGTTAACTCGCAAGCCAGGGATTTAGATATTATATATAATGTTATTTATTATTGCAGTTATTTAATAATGTTTTGTATCATATTATTAAAGTGTTTGTTGAATACAAAAATTACTAAGTGGGCTTGTTGATTCTTTTTCATGTTTGTTTTCATTGTTAAAAAATCATATAAATTGGAATGAAAACGTTAAAACCTTCACTGAGTCTTTCTGGTTCTTTTGATGCTCATTTTCAGTGCGGACATATTATGTCGTCACACAGTCTCTCCGCCCGTCAATGAACGGTTGGTAACGCGATATAGGCTACAGGTTTTCTCCATTTGCGTTTTCAAATTTAAGTGAAGCGACGCATTAGTGCAATGAATGGACAAACTCTTCTTGATATTTAGCGTACTTACGCCCTCCTTTTTTCTGGAAACATTTCAAAACTGATAGAGGTTACATTTGAAATGTCGTGTGAAGCATTGGGGTTCGTGAGAGGATGAACCTTATCCATTTTCAAAGTTCCGCGGTCTTCGGTACTAATGTTACCCCTTGTGAGCGCGATAGAAGCTATAGTTTTTAACATTTTTCTTTTTATCAAAATTGGTGTAACGCATCATGATCATAAGATAACGACCCCTTTCGCTGTTCAGCGTTCCGTTTCCTTTCGTTTAGAGTTACGCTTCAATTTCAATTTAGGTGTAAAGCATTAGGTTAGGATAGACGATACAGTTTTTTAATGGATTGTTGTTTTCAAACCTGGTGTGAAGAATTAGTGCGGCGACAGGGGATGAATCCTATTGATTTTGGCATAAGGTGCGAAGCATTGGGGTCGGAGAGGGTGAACCCTGTTGATTTTCAACATTCTATGGCTTTTTGTTCCAGAAAATATATGTAACATTAAGTCGAGGGTGGGGGCTGTTCACGGAAATAAGTCATAAATGGGCGCAAAGTTTAGTCCAACCTTCACATAATATACGATTCTTTAGATACCAGAGCTAATCCATCGTTCACACATGGCAAAACACAGCTACTAAATTATTCCACAACGAAGCATTCAAGATATACTATTCAAAAAAAGTAGGGGATATTTGATTTTTAAGTGTTATTAAAGTCACCTAATGAAACTGACGAAGAAACAAATGACAAAATGAAATGAAGTTCACATTCATCGATTTATTCCAAATGATCGTTAGACTAAGTAAGGCACAGACTGACCATTATAAGGGTAAAATGATACCCGGGGTCAAACAGCAAAGTTACCACAGCATCACAACCAAGTCAGTAACGGGTAAATCCTCCCCTGTTTGCCAAACAAGCATTGATCCGACGTGGCATACTCCTAATGAGACGTCTAAGGTCATTTTGGTCCAGATTGTCCCATTCCTGTTGCAACGCAGCAGCAAGTTCTTGGACATTGGCAGGACGTTGTTGACGTTGACGTAACCTCTGTCCAAGCATGTCCCAGACATGCTCGATGGGGGAGAGGTCGGGACTCAGTGCTGGCCAAGGTAATGTGGTGATGTTCTGTTGTTGGAGGTAACCTGTAACGATCCTGGCCCTTTGACATCTTGCGTTGTCATCCTGGAAGATGAAACGGCGGCCATGACGTCGTGCGAACGGCACAACATGGACTGCCAAGATGTTGTCCCGGTAGTACTGGCCTGTAACACGCCCTGCAACAACATGTAAAGCCGTTCTTCCAGCAACAGTGATGCCTCCCCACACCATAACAGAACCACCCCCAAATCAATCATGTCTGATGACGTTAACGTCTTGGAAGCGCTCGTTTCGACGACGCCACACCCTCCTACGTCTGTCCAAAAAATCAACAGTGAACCTTGACTCATCTGAAAACATCACATTGCTCCAGCGTCGATTATCCCAGTGTTGACGATCCCTACACCAACGACGTCTTGCCTGAATGTGATGATCTCTCAAATAAGGGATCACGCGAGGACGTCGGGCGCGAAGGTGACCCCTATGCAGTCGATTCCGAATCGTCTGGCCACTCACTCTCACACCAGTGTCTGTTTGAAGACGAGCGCTGATCTGATTTGCTGTGATGACACGATTTCTCAAGGCCAAGGTACGGATAAATCGATCCTGGGCTTGAGTTGTCGCCCTTGGTCGACCTGAGCGTGGTCTGTCCTGTACAGATTGTGTATCACGGTATCTGGACCATAGCCTGCTTATGACAGACTGAGAAACATTCATCGTCCGCGCCACAACCGCCTGTGTTGTGCCGATCTGTAGCATGCCAAGGGCACGTAACCTTTCATTTTGGGTAAGCCGACGCATATCAAAATTTGTTTTCTGGTCACTAAAACAATTAAACAGATGTTTCCACCCTGGAATTCAATGCCACAATGACTGTAACATTCAAAGTCAGAGTCGTGCAAATCTTGGGTTGGACCCCCATGATGATCCCAAGCATCACCTGCATTCCATGCGGTAGCTATTGGTGCGTTTGGGCGTCACATGTAACTGGAAATGTTTCTTCTGTTAGGTTCTATAGTGACTTTTTTCGTAGTCATTTTCATATTTTAGTATTATGCCCCCAAAATCAAATATCCCCTACTTTTTTTGAATAGTATATAATAATATATGTTTACAAAGTCTCGGTTGCATCAGCTTTGTGTTTACATCGCAACAACTCTGACTTGTTTTGTTAAGAGATGGTCCCACTACACACAGTACTGATAACTCCCGTCTTTGACTCCAGCTACAGTAGCTGATCGTTCTAAGGTCTTCCTTTGTGCTCTCTTAATTACTAATTAATCTGGGACCTGTTTCACGAAATTTTAACTAAGATAAAATCCAAATTTTAGTAATCTGATTGGATAATATTAGATTGATTTTAGTGCTTAGCCAATCAAAATTGAAGTATCTACTAAAATTTGGATTTTATCTTTAGTTAAAATTTCGTGAAACGGGGCCCTGGCCCTGAAAAGATACTACACGTAGCTTAAAGTAGCTAAGTCTCTAACTCAATATCATCCCATGTCTTCGATATTGAAAACACCAATTATTTGTCAATATATATCAACATTGATGTTATAATCTTACCGGGAAAAGATGAGCTTCTGATATCCAATATTTAAGAAAAAATAAACATTTTACCATTGGTACACTCAGCGCCATTTGTAACAAGGGACTTGAGGAACGAGGCTAGACATATTGTAAAAGTCATGTCAAACGGTGGCGTCATATTCTTATCTGGAGAGCATGCAGAATAAATAATATCGTTGTAGACTGGAATAACCAGACTCTAAAGGTTGTCAATCGATTGAGACTTCTGGCGTATTTCGTCGAACATAACTGATTTGAAATTAGAGTACAAACGAAAAGGATTGAAAGTAAATCACTTTATATTCATTCATATTACATTTTTATATGCATCGCTACCCATTTGTGTCAATTTCTAGGTCCCAAATATTAGCGATTTAGCTCCTTTAAAATACAAATAACTAATCCACGTTGAAATAAAAGTGAAACCTTACCGCATAGTTCAGTAATTTTGAAAAAATCCACCGTATACTCAAAATTTTACGTTGGGTAACATCATGGCCACTCGTGTGCATAAAAAAATGTCGATTCGAAATTATAAAACCCATTATCACGAAGAAAAATTGTTCGGTGACTATTTTGGGGGTTTATATTTCATTTTTGTGATAAAAACATTTATTTCAATTAAAATTATGATGATATGCTTTGAATGTTATTCGTTTGAGTCTGTTTGTATTTGCGCATAGCTTCAATGAATGTAATTCTTTAGGAACTGTCTCTGATCGGACGATTCCCTTGACAGTTCCCATCCGTCCCTATATAACTGCAATATGAAAATAAGGTAAAATACCTATCTTCCGAACCTCTGTTCTCTGGCTATTTTGGAACCCTTACCTTCTATTTTTCACCAAAAGGAATCATTTCTCGACATATCTGACACAAATTTATAATAAATAAACACTATTTTCAAGTAGAATTTAGCGATTTAATAAGCATGCGGACTGCGCATGTTCTTGTCTCGTAATGGCTGATTAATTCAAACGTATTTTGTGTATGTTATTAATCGCAAAATTCTACTTGAAAATATTATAAATGTGTGTCAGCTGTGGCAAGAAATGGTGAACAAAGAAATATCACGGTGAAAAATAGTCGGTAAAGATTCCAAAATAGCCTTAAAACAGAGGAGGTGAAGAGCGGTAGTTTCATATTGCAGCTATATAGCCAGTGATAGGAACAGCGGACATAGTCCGATCGGAGACAGTTCCTAAAGGAACTACAATGAATGAAACATTTGCAGCTAGTTTTTTGGTATGCAATTAATAAATAATAATAATAATAATAATTTATTTATATAGCGCCAACAATTCAAATCAGCGAGCTGCTCTAGGGCGCTTTACATAAGTACAACTAATATAAAATTACAACAATCACAACACATTAATCCATTTAAAAAAAAAGACATAAACAAAAAACGGAGAACATTATTTAGTACACATGGCATGGTAAGCGTCTGACACAAACACGGCTAGAACCATACTCAATCAGTTGTATATTTGATTAAAAAGTTCAGTTTTGAGATACTTTTTAAAACCTTTAATAGAATTTCCGCTTTTGGTTTCGTTTGATATTGAATTCCATAACTTCGGAGCACCGACTGCGAAAAATCTATCACCGGAGTTGGTTTTTGAAAAGGCTTAATTAAAAGGTTGTCTGATTGTGATCGAAGGGTTCTGCAAGGTTTATTGGTGTTGAGAATGTCTCTAAGGTGAGGTGAAGAATCGTCATTTAGAGCAAATTATATACGTAATAGACAGTATTTTAATTGCAAGCCAATTGAGATCATTCACCACGGAAATTTTGGCTCAGATATCGTTTAAAATATCTTTACATAATTCTATACTCACAGTATTGTTCTTTAGATTTTATTGGAAAGTTTTTTGTAGACCATCATCATTCTGGGGCATATCTCGGAAACCTAATATTTGCACCAATAACTTCTATTTGGTTGTTGATTATGATCCTCTGTATCTACAAAACCATGCGCATGGGTGGGAGATATTGATATAATAGAGACTTTTGGCAAGCGTAAATTTCTGGTCCGCATCGCGTATCCGTATGGATTTTGCGTGTTACGTCATCAATGTGTATGCATTTCTCATACGTGATACGTCACACGGATACGGCAGCACGTATCGAACAGCTTCCATAC